GGCTGAATTGCACAAAACGCATGATCGCACCGGCTAGTCTGGTGCGCGTTGCCATTTATTTTTACAAATGAATAAGAGCTGAAACATTCGCTTTCACATCCAAAGATAACGTGCTACCTTTTTTGCCATCACCTTATTTACTCCGAGGTTGGTATGTTAAAATTTATGCTGTGTGTTCCTTTAAGGCATACAACTTCATTTCTTGTCTGCTTTTTCATAGGCATTAGGTACTTTTGTGCTTCTTTTGCCGGTTTCTCATGGGTTTTCCGCATCAAAACCTATATTCCCGAAGTTATATGGTGCGGAGAAAGCAGTGGCGTTCGAAAAAACGCCTGCAAGAGAGCTGATGTGCTTCTTGTGTCAGGATTTTTTAGTCTGATTTTTCTCTAGTAAGCTAGAAGGAGGATTCATATGTGCTGCTTTTCGATGGCAAACGTGAGGAATGTAGTTTAATAAAGGGTTCGAAAATATCAATTTGAATTTTTCAAGAATTTGATCATAAAAAATATATCATTCTAGCAGCAATACATGGATCGTCGGCGACGCAACAACGAAGCGGCAAAGCGTTGTCGAGCGAACCGTCGTGCCCAATTCGAGTACCGTAGTAGACGAGCGCAACAGCTAGAAACTGAAAATGAGGAGCTGCGGAAGGAGATGAATCGTCTGAAGCAAGAACTTGAACAGCTGAAAGCACTACATGCTGCCAAAACTGCTGCTGCTCTACAACGGTGATTGCTGGAATGATGGTGCTATTGTACAGCTAGCTGTATTCCTAGCTTTTCAGAACGGCGAGTCCGAACTGCCCATAAACTGCCTCACTCACTTTCCTGTCTTTGAATATTTCTTCCTTTTTTTTGTCAGAAAATCAAAAAATCCCCTTCATATTCGCTTCCCCGAAAAAGTTGAGGCAGTCGGAAGCAAACTGTGTTGAAACATCAGCTGGCATGATTGCCAACGATTCCCGCATTCCAGTGTTGCTTACAAGTAAATTGACGACGGGTTAGATTCCAAGCATATGCCAGTTCCAGCTTACCACCAAAACGAATGAATCGTGGGGGAATCATTTCTTTCCACGGCGCATGTATGCAGATGTATGTGCCTGTTCAGTAAAACAAATCCGAAATAAGAGAAGATGGGAAGGAGGAATTTCAAGAACGTATCCCTTGGCTGCATAAAGAGACTCTAACGCTCAGATCTCTTCACGTCTTAACCCATGATCTCACATTCGAAATGAAACCAGTTATTAGCAAGGGTAAAATCATACAGGCAAGAAATTTTAACCATTTTATTAACCAAACAGTGCCCAATGAGTAACCCAAAATTACCTTTCTATACCCACATCTATTAATACAGATCAAAATTCATATTACCAGAAAGGAATAGGTGGGAAATTCGGAACTTTTGGACTTATTTTTACTCACAAAGTTTTTAAATTTTCCCACTCATCACCTATGAAAAAGACAGTAAGATGCATGACCCGAAATTACCTTGGATCTGAAATGAAGGCTGTTTTCGAAACCTCGGATAGTGCATGTTCCTTTGCATAAAGCAGTAAATCATCGTAAAGCAAATGAAATTTTGTAGATGTTGACGCGCATCTTCTCCCCACTAACCCACAAAGCTTCCCCGCCTTCTCTCCAGACCCGCACAGTCGTTTTAGCCTCTCTAGTAGATGTTAATTTCAGTTACTTAGTATCGGACTTCGTTTGGATCCCGCAGTAGTCTTTTATCAATCCCTCGTTTACTGTTTGTGACCTTTGACCTCGCGTTTTTGCAGCGCTTTTGTTCTATGCAAATTACTTTCATCTAATAGCATCTCCATAGTGTTCCCTGTGAAATAAAGCATATGAATTTTACTGACAGCGAATATTCATTTTCTGGCCGACTCGAAATAGCATGGTTTTATTACCACACTGGAAAAATTTGACAATGGATAGAAGATTCTGAAAGAGCCACCTGTGGTTTTGCCTCAGCTGCATCGAAAATCCCACAGTATCTCGGTCATAGGCAAGCTCAGAAAATTTCAGCACGCTAGCTGTTCTGTTTGCGGAGTTATGTCAAAGCCTACACGTTCGCACGTGAGAAGGTTGTCTTCATGCGCACTTGCTTAAAAGCAGTTGAGGACCACGCTCGAGAAAATTTAATGCTCTGGCTTCTTCGGTTTCAAATTTACGCAAAACTGCCGTTCCAGAAATTATAGACGTCTTTCATCGTTGGGGTCGCTTCATTGACCGAGTGGTCTCGGCGTTGTTGCAGCAGCCTCAGGTTTCCTTGTGCTGCAAACTGTTTCCGAAGGGATTTTCGTTTTGACTCCGTTTTCCCTAGCTGAATCCTAGCCTGCAGCAGTTGGATCCTCATTCGGATTGTTTCCGCAATCCGTTTGAGCTCTGAGATGCCACGGTGCCCCAACTCGCGTCGGATTCTATGTATGTTCTCCAGCTCCTTGGAGCTGGGCCCCCTCTTCTCCTTTCTACGCTCGAGCTCTCGCTCAATGGAGAGGAGTTGCTCCGCGTCCTTGGCCTCGATTTCCCTGAACCACCTAACCTCGGGCAATCGCCTTTCGCTCTGGGCCTCTGCAAGAAGCTGGGCGACAGTTCTCGCTGCTGCGTAAACGTAAGCATTTAACTTCCCAATATACGACACTGAGCCGTCACATACGAATCTGCCGCACTCCTTTTCCATGCATGAAACATACGTGAGGCGAGAAAATAACATGAAAGTTGTTCCCACGAGCACCAGCTCAAACACGGCCATTGGCCACGTTTAGCTTATAGCTCTCATCAGCTTCCCAAGCAGATGAAACCTCGTGTTGGCACACCACCAAAAGGTTCAAACTTGACCTGTCTGCACGTTAAACTTGGAAGTGCTTGAAGGCTGAATTTAAATCCTTTAGGACATACGTGGTTAGGGAACATTTTCGCAGAGTTTCAGTCTTCCAGCTCGCCTGATTTCCGAAGTCGACTTCCCACGTGCTCATACGTGCTGTTACATCAAACACGAAATGCGATCGATTCTCTTTATTTCAGAGTGTTCTCGATTGTCCTATTGTTTGTGTGTAAGAAACATATACACAAGGGAGGAGTAGGTGAAGCTGTCGGGGAGAACGAGGGACCATTCGCCTGGAAGAACAGGCAATGCGGACAGGTCGTGGTCCAGGAGTTTGAGGGTCTAAAGGAGTGTTTTGGCTGTTCGCGCCCGCTGTGGTTAGCGGGAGTCTTGGTGAAGACGAGAAGAAAGATGATCGGATTTAGTCGCTCAACAGTCTGTACTGCTGAAGTTGCGTTATTCGTTGTGTTGTGTTGAAATAACAGATTTCATTCCTCACTGTACGGGTCGTCATTTGATCAGAGCTACGAGCAAATGACCAACACAAAGAGGATGTGTACGCTCACTTTACGCCGAGAGGCCCGCACAGAGATGTAGATGAAGTTGCCAAAGTTCCAGTTTCACAGCTTCTGCGAGTCTCAAGACCGAAATATCGCAAAGCGTAGACCCGTTACAACAATGCGTTCCCGCACTCGCATAAAAATGCGAAAAAAACACTCGCACGCACACAAGAGCAGTAAGTGGTTACCGCAGTCTTCTGGCAGTCCACTATGCTAGATTTAGGCATGTTAAAACCTTGCGGCTTCTACCATAGCGCGCTAGAGTGTTCAAGCGTCGGGCGCAGTACCAGCATTTATGTATTTGGTGTGTTCCCTGGCTGGTAGGGGGAGAAGAGAGGGGAGAGGAGGAGGGGGAGGGGGCAGCTTTTTTATCGCACGAGGAGTGCCAGAAGCGTATTTTGCGGTTTGAGTGTTCAAGGGCCGGCGAGAGGTTTTGTTCGTCGCTAGTATTATTCTTGACCTCACATCTGCAGTACTTCTGGGCATTCATTTTGGCCAACAAATTTCGCAGCTACTTTGAGCAGTTGCTGATCTGGACATTCCTTGCGTCTTCTGTCCGTGGGTGGTTATCAGATGATCAGCGGTTCCAGCCGCAACGTGTTATTTGTTGAGCGTAGTCCGCGCTTGGCCGCGCCGGCGTGTTGGAGCAGCGCTGTCCTCTGATGCTGAATGTATCGGTGTTGAAAGCGTAACGGTGTTTGTGGCGCGTCTTTTTAGTAGTGCTCGCCTTTTTTTGCGAATGTTGCTGCTGTTCGGCATGCAGGCTTTTCCGCTGGCTTTTGTACACAAGCTTCGCTTCTCGTTTATTTGAACGTTTTGTCATCTACACGCTGTTGCTTTGATAATTGGCCTTTGCACCACAGATAGGCCCTTGTCCGTGCATGTTTTCAGCGACTTGCGTTGCAGACAGGCCAGCAGGTGCCAGTTGCTCCACGAATAGGGCGTTAACTCTGTCCCTGTTTGTTTTGCAAAGAACCGTTGCATTATTTGTCAGGCCTGTCACCATCTGTTTAACAGATAAGCCGTTGTCCTTGTGCATTTATGGTCATTTTCTTGGCATATAAGCTTTACATGTACATGACGATTCAACACGTCTTAAGGTTTGTAACCCAACTATCTCCCCAATCACAGTCCACTGGAAAATCCCATCCTCCCATCCGTTAAAACTTGAGAAATTCTGCCGTTCCGGCTTTTCTTTGGCTGGGCGGGCCGTCACTTCAGCAGGTGTGGTTCGGCCTATCAGCGACTGTAAAGAACCTCTTGCCGGTTTCACCCTCTTCCCCAACTGCATTGTCCAATTTTGATTCGGCCTTCTTTGGCCTCTCTCTTTCATCATTTGTTGCATAAAGGATAAACTGTTCCCTCGCCATGTTTAACTATTTGCTCCTGCAGATAAGCCGTTCATTGAGCTGATATGATCATTCTACCTCGGCAGTGCTTGTATTTTTCATGCGTTTTGTGCTGTGCAACAACAGTATAAAACGAATATTGTCATGGGGTTGTCTTTGTGTCCGCAGCAACTTGTCCGCAACTTTCAACTCGGAAACCACAAAAGCTAGGAAGCTGAAAATTTTGGGGGAGCTTTCCCCACCCACGTGTGACCCCGCAAATTTAAATTCAGCTTCCTTGTACCCGCAGGTACACGTATGGCCCCGCGAAAGTTTTTTACGGGTAAATTAATATATCGGGAACCACGGAATCTAGGAGGCTGAAATTTTAGGGTAATGACCCCTGCCCACGCTGAATCTTGCTTATTCAAATTCAGCGTTCCCGCGCTCTTGAGTATTACCTAAGGCATCGTGAAAATTTTGGCGGGTAAACTATTAACTCGGGAATCACGGAAAGATGCTCACCTTTCAAGGTTTCGAACTCAACTTTCATGCGCAGGTGCGTGAAATTTTTAACAATTTTTTAATGTTTCAACTAA